CAGCCCTGCCCCCTGGTGGGCTGAGCTGGCCACACACACACACACACACACACACACACACACACACACACAAATAAATAAAATTTAAAAAAAAAGATTTAAAAGGGGAACCAGGGATATGATGGGCATGAGGGGGAAGGGAGGGGAAACTGGGAGGAATAGACTGCCTTTTAAGGTGGAACTCATCTGAGAGCACCCGTACCAGTTAAGAGCATGGAGTGTGGAGTCAAACAGGCTTGGATCCTGGAGTCTGAGGTTATAGCTCAGTGATAGAGCACTTGCCTAGCATGCACAAGGTCACCTCTAGCACTCCCAAAATGAAAGAAAGGAAGAAAATTATAGTAACTGAACATTTTCCTGTCTCAGTTTATCTGTAGTTTTTACCTCACAGGTTTTCTATGAAATTAGACTAATTACTATCTAAGGTTGATTGGAAGTCAAATTGTGACTCATATCAATAAAAACAAATGCATTCACTTCAAGTTTAGCTATTTCCATGTCCATAAATTCCTAAAGAAAACACTAGCTGAAAATATAAGTGCCTCTGAAGGGTTTTTGTGTGTGTGTGTGTGTGTGAGGCACGGGGTCCTCTGGCTTTAAGGCGAAGTGTCGCCCAGTTAAATCGGGTGGAAGGAAGTATCAAGGGTGAGATTTGCTTCTTCCCCTCACTTGTCTTCAGAATTTGCCACAAGAGGTAGTGGGGAAAGATCAGTAGTCTGATGTAGCGACTTTGCCTGGTGCGGTTGTGCACACCTTGTTCTCTGCACCCTGGGAATAAAAGATGGAAAGGACTGGATGTAGTCTATTGGAAAGATCCTGGGTAAAGTCCCCAGTCAGTCCTCTCCCTCCAGAAAAGGAACAGCTGAAGGCAACACGGGCTAAACGTGCTACCCTCAGCCTTTTTTAGTCCTCGGTCTCTGAGTTTAAGAGAATCACTCTTTCTTCCACCTCTGCATAACCTTCCACCTTTGCTTTTACGCAGGACCAAAATGACCACTTTAGCCCCTAGTGGCTGCCGCTCAAACCTGGACTCCAGGTACCACAGACTCTGTGACACGGCTGAAAGTTGGGGCATCATCCTAGAAACGTTCGCTGCGCTGGGAGCTGTGGCATCGGTGGTCTTCATGTTCGCTCTCCTGGTTCTCATCTGCAAAGTTCAGGACTCCAACAGGCGGAAGATGCTCCCGACCCAATTTCTCTTCCTCCTTGGTGTGTTAGGGGTCTTTGGCCTCACTTTTGCCTTCATCATCAAACTGGACGGGGGCACGGGGCCCACGCGCTTCTTCCTCTTCGGCATCCTCTTCGCCATCTGTTTCTCTTGCCTCCTGGCCCACGCTTTCAATTTGACAAAGCTTGTCCGCGGGAAGGAGTCCCTTCCCTGGCTGGTGACTCTGGGCTTGGCTTTGGGCTTCAGCTTGGTGCAGGATGTCATTGCTGTTGAGTATATTGTCCTCGCCATGAACAGGACCAACGTGCACATCTTTTCTGAGCTTTCTGTTCCTCGTCGCAATGAAGACTTTGTCATGCTGCTCATCTATGTCTTCCTCTTGATGCTGCTGACCTTCCTCACATCCCTCTTTGTCTTCTGTGGCTCCTTCACCGGCTGGAAGAGACACGGGGCCCACATCTGCCTTACCATGTTCTTCTCCATCGCCACCTGGGTGGCGTGGATCATCCTGCTCTTGATATCTGCCCTGGACTCCAAGTGGGATGACACCATCCTCAGCACAGCCTTGGTTCTCAATGGCTGGATTTTCCTGTTGTTTTATGTCTTGCCTGAGTTTATGCTGCTACCGAAGCAACGCAACCCCATGGATTACCCGGTGGAAGATGCTCTCTGTAAACCCCAACACATGAAGCAGAGCTACGGCATGGAGAACAGAGCCTACTCCCAAGAGGAAATCTCCCCAGGTAGGGACGAGAGACTTTTGGTGGAGTGACAGAGAGGGGCTGGAGGGGAACGTGACTGTAAGGAACATGCAGGATTTTCTAGATTAAACCTCCAAGAGAACAGAAAGGTTCGCCAAGCTTCCTACCTTGCTTAAAGTCACCTAGCCAATTAGAGACAAGTAGAATCAGAAGATGTCTTCGGGAACTTTCACTTAATCAAAAGGAGATAAAGCAAAAGAAAGGGAAAGACTGTAGCAAGAAGCTTTGGAGAAGATGGTGCACTTTATTAACAGGATAGGTAGATATTCCTTCCAGAAATGTGGAATTTTTTTTTTTTTTTAATTTGAGTGCAGAGAGTCAAGGTATGATCACAGAATACAGGAGAGGAAAAAGTCCTTTTGTTATTAAATCTACAGGTACCTTCATGAAGTTACTGAAGGTTCTGATTTAGCACAACAGCTACATTTTGTTGCGTGTCTCAGGGCCCATAGGAAGGAGGGAGGGAAGAGATCAGTCGTATGTGACATTAGGGAATCAGGTGAATTTTGCTCCTATCTGCAGTTGTGAGGAGCCAGATGCTTTGGATTGATGTTGTCCTAAGAGAAGAGGCTACACTGAGCCAGAAACTGCCTCTGCCTATAGGGTTCTATTCACTGGCTTTCAGGGCACGCATTGATCTTGCAATGGAATCCCAGCAAGGAGGGGGTTGTTTCTGGACCTTCAAGGCCTGGTTCTCAGCTCTGCTAAATCCAAGTCTTTCATCATCTCTTAATACCAGAGGATTCTCCCTGTGCCTGTGATCTCTCTCCTGGGCAAGTGAAGCCCAGAGGTAGGGAGAACAAGCCTTCAACTCACTCCAATGCTCCTGTGGATTCCTAGGGCTTTCCTCTGTCACCTCACTCTTGGGCTCCTTTTGGTAGATCCATATTGACTCCTTGCTTTTCTCATTTGGGGCCACCATTAGCTTATTCACCCTGTGGTGGCCGCCACAGTGTCCACATTCCTCACTGGTTCCCAGGACCTACTGTATCATGTGGAATCCACAGTGAGGCTTCCATACACCATTGGAGCCTTGTCTTTACCCCATCTCTGTGTTGGGTTGAAGATGTGGCCATGGCTGCCTGCTTTGACCTCCTTCCTCTCTCCAGAGCTGAGCATTCCACAGGCTCCCGCAGTTTGCTCTGCCCATATCATTTGCAGAACTTTGAAATGCTCTTGTCAGAGCATGTCTCATTCACTAGGATTTGTGTTCATATATTCCTGAGTCTCTGGCGTGAGCCAGCGGGCAGGGATGGTTCTAGTTAACCCTCAGATTCCATAGTACCTGACGTATGGAAGTATGCATTGAGCACGTTGGGCAGGAAATTTGGTGGGAAATAAATGAACTGCTTAAAATTGCCTTAATGATGATGGTGTGTGTTGACTTTTGTTTCCAAGTTTAAAAGCCCCTGTTTTCCTCCAAAATACACCAAATTGCTCATCAGATCTTCCCAGCCAGGAATGGTGGTGCATGCGTATAGTCCCAGTGGTCAGGAAGCAGAGACAGGAGGATCTTTGCGAGTTTGAGACCAGCCTGGGTTACAAAGTGAGCTCAAGGCCAGCCTGAACCACAAAGTGAGACTGTGTTTCAAAAAGGGAAGGGGGAGTTTTTCCCTTGTTTTCTTGCCAGGTAGTTAAGGAAGTGAGTAAATCCCAGTGAGATTTATTGTAGGTCCCACCACTGATGAGATCTCTATCCTAGTTGGTGCTGGGTTTCTAGGCCTTAGGATACAGTCTTTCCTGCAGGGAACCTAAAATCTAGTGGAGAGATAAAAGGACAAGCTGTCACACACAGATGCACTCCGGGGGATGCAGTGGAGTGGTAAAGCACCTGCCCCTAATGCTGAATTTTGTCTTCTCCCTTTGTTTCAGGTTTTGAGGAGACGGGGGATTCGCAGTATGCTCCGTATTCCACGCATTTCCCACTGCAGGTGACTGATCCTTCTCCTTCCTTATAAGCAGCATTCACACCCCAGAGGCGCTTACCCCTTGGCAACAGAAGTTGTCACCATTCTAATGGCTCCTAAGTGGTCACCTTGAGAGGTGACCTGTCTCCTGCATTGCAGTGTGGGTGGGGGGTGGAGTGCAGGGAGGTAATTGTTGGGAAGGGAAGGGCATCCGAGTTCCATCTATACTGTGGAGCTGTTAAAATGGCTCCAGACAGCTCAGGCCTGGTGGCACACGCCTGTAATCTGAGCACTCAGGAGGCTGAGGCTGGAGGATTGCCATGGGTTTGAGGCCGGTCTGGGCTACATAGTGAGACCCTGTCTCAAAGAGAAAAAATAAAGCTGGGGACTGTGTGAGTTTCATGATATGGTTGTTTGTTTTTCAGAATCGGACTCCTAAAAAGGATTTTTCCATCCCACGGGCCCAGGCTCGGTCTAGCCCTTATAATAACTATGAAGGAAGAAAAGGAGGCAGTTAGCTCTGTTCTGAAGAGTGGCAGACCCAGCTGGGAGCCCAAAGGGATGTGGGCCGAACCTGGAATCTTCTAAAGTTGTACAGTGTCACAGGAGGCCTCACTTGCTCCCTCCCAGGCCAGGCCACTACTCTTCTGTGCTGGTGCTGATGGTGGCCAGTAAGACTCCATTTCTTGTGGGGTGTGGTGGCACATACCTGTAATCCCAGCACTCCAGAGGCTGAGGCAGGAGAATCAAGGAGAGTTCAAGGCCAGCCTGGACACGTAGTGAGACCCTGTCTTAAAAAAAGAAAGAAAGAAAAAAACAGACTCCAGTTCTTTCCAGCATTGTGCTTCCTTGTATCCCATACCTGTGGTACTTCTCGGGCAACTCAGGGTCAGACTCTTCCTGTTCTCTCCTCTGTGACTAAAGGCTGGTCATCTGACCACATGCCGGCTTGAGAAGCTTCGGGAGTCAACTCATCCAACCCAGGGAGGGTTTTGTGAGGCTTGGCTGACTCGGCACAGGACTGCATATCTGAACTGAGCCAGCCAGCCTGGGTCTCAGCCCATGCTGTCTAACTCTATCCTGGGAGCCAGCTCCCCTTTCCATCTTCCTGCCTAGGCCTGAATAAAGGTCACTCTAAAGCTGTCCTGGGACACGGCCCATGCAGCTCCCCACAGCCAGTTCACAGAGTGCCCTTCTGGTACCTCCAGACCTAATCATACCCAAGGGCTTTGCCAGGCATTCTTTGGAACCTTATGGGGACAGACAAGCTGAGCTTCCCCTGTGAGGAAAAGTGGGCACTGTCCCTGTTGTAAATCCTCTACTCGGGTTCTTCTCCTGCCTTGTTACAGCCTCTGTAAATAATTTTCACTGTATTTACCTCCCGAGTTCTGTACCTGGGCATTGTCTTTCCTCGGGGAGAATGTTTGTTGTATTTGTGTGGTAAGTTATTCATTTGGATATACAATAAAGATGTGGCAGCAGTTCTTTTGTGTGTGTGTGTCTTTTATTATATTTATTTTAAGGTACAGCAGACTGAACCCAGGTTTTCACCATGTTAGACAAGAACTCTTTTTTTTTTTTTCTGGTTTCTTCACTTTTTTTTTTGCTTTTATTTTTTTTTTGATAACAATAAAATTCTTCATAGGAAAATTTGCATGGGTTTAGGTACACAATTTCTATACAAGTATAGGCAGACATCAGATTTGTACTATCACATACATATATTTATGTAGTATTTCAAAGCTTGTAGACCAAAAATGTTATTTTTTTTTCAATAATA